GTCCGTATTTTCTAAATTTTCTATAGTGGGCATTCTTGATCCTGTGAGGATGGGTGGGCATGGTGTGTAAGGGTGCCCTAGAAGGCAGCAGCAGCGGTAAGGGAGATGCCTCACATTGCGGCCCAGGCAGAGTGGCTGCATGTTTGAATGGCAGTGTTGGGACATGCCCTGTAGGGCAGTCGGACCCAAACAAGCTTGTTCATCTTGTTGTCCAGAGAGACCCAGTCATCGGGGATAGTCTTGGAGGACCAGCCTTATTATCAGCCCAGAGGTGGCTTTTTGTGAGTTAGGAAAAGTGCCTCTTCCTCAAGAGAAATTACTGCCATCTGCTGGGAAAGGATTGTAATAATTACACAAAGCTTTGCAGACTAGGAGGCAAACCCTGGTTTGCAGTGGTTGTGCAGTGCACAACCCTAGGCACAGTCCTGTGGAGGACCTACCTCCATCCTCTGACCCAGGTCGTGGTGTGGATCTGGAAATCTGTACTTTTATATTATTACTATTTTTAACCACCCATTAACACATTTTTTTATTGTGGGAAATTTGAAATAGACACAAAAACAGAGAGAGGAAGATAATGAGTCTTCATCTTACTATCTCCAGCTTCAATAAAGATTCATATTCTGTGCCATTCTTTTTCATCCATCCCTCTACGATACTTTTGCTAGAATATTTTAGAGCAAATCTCAGGCTTCATATCCTTTCTCCCATCTATTGGAGTTTGTATCTAACTATATAAGGAATTTTTAAAAATACCATTTTTGTATTTTCCTAAAGCTTCTAAAATAGCTGTGCAGAAGAAAAGGCAACAAAGGTAAGGGATAGATCAATTACAAACTCAGAGGACGCATTGCGCTTGTGCTGGGACGTTTAGGTTTTATCCCAAGGGGAGTGGAGAGGCTTCGGCGTTCTCTGTGCAGGACACTCTGCCTTTTATGGCGATCTTTTCGCCTCCCTCCCAGTAAGAAGGGTATCCCTGCACCTTCCTGCTTTGAGGCACCGACTTCCTCCTCTGTTAGTAGATGCCATAGATTGGCACACTCTCACCGGCCTGCCCAACCTGCCCTCTTCCCAGTCATTTCCTGTCATTCAAGACAACCGAAGAGGATTAAAGACACGCTTTTGTAGTTCAACCCAGCAAACCCAAATTAAATCCAAAATTCTTCTGGTCCTCATTAACCACAAACACAGGACTCTGCACTCCCTAATCTCCTAAAAAGTGGGTGACAGTCACACACAAATGGAAAGTTTAGATAAAGAAAGGCGCAGCCCAAGGAGATATGTAATCCAGGATGTGGGCGGAACTTGCTTGAGCGTGGCATTGCCAGGGTTCTCTTTGTGATCTCAGGTAGTACTTCCTTTGGAGCATTTATTCCTTATTGCCAGGAGTTAGAACAGGCTGCAGGATTGTAACACTAGCGTTGCCTTCCACTTCTAATGCTTCTTAATTACAATAATGAACATATTAATGACATTTGATTGTGACAATAATAAATGTGATGTCTTTTCTAAACATTTCTTACAGAGCTGTCAGAATGTAGACTTCAGTAAAATCTGCACATGTTCATGCTTTTCCTGTACCACCTTAAAGGAATATTACTGGCTGGGCATGGTGGCTCATGCCTGTAATCCCAACACTTTGGGAGGCCAAGGTGGGTGGATCACCTGAGGTCAGGAGTTCGAGACCAGCCCAGCCAACACAGGGAAACCTCCCCTCTACTAAGAAAATACAAAAATTAGCCGGGTGTGGTGGTGGGCACCTGTAGTCCCAGCTCTTCAGGAGGCTGAGGCACGAGAATTGTTTGAACCCAGGTGGCAGAGGTGGTTGCCATGAGCTGAGATTCTGCCACTGCACTCCAGCCTGGGCAACAGAGCGAGATGCTGTCCAAAAAAAAAAAAAAGAATATCACATAACATAAAGTTAACAAATAATGACCATCCATGAGGTGAAATCCTGAAATAGATATGAAAACACAGGAGACTTCTGCTATTATTTATAAGCAGAGTGGGATACTGAATTTCTTGAAACTTTTGTCTGACAGTAGTTGCCAAGTATCACACACTTATTTTGTCCAACCCTTCCAATTCCCGAGGCTGGTCTGTCAACATAGCCTGAGCATCAATCCAGTAGTTGCCAGGGAGTGTCGCAGTGAGGCAGCATTGGGCTCACCTGGGAACTATTAGAAGTGCAGGTCGTCCAGCCTCACTCTGGACCCACTGAACTCGTGATCTGTTTTAATAAGCCCTGCAAGTGATCTTGGTATAAGCTAAGGTTTAAAAACCACTGCTCTACTTTGTGGTGATCTTGAATATGATACTAGAGTTGAAAGCTGATATTAGCCTACCAAATGGATGCAAGTCACATCCTTGGGCTACTTGACTCTTCCTCCAGTGCTGGTTTCTCTGGCCAGAATCTGGCCTCCTTCAACCTGAGGCTGGGTTCCGCCTTTTCCTCGTGTTCAGGGATGACTCCGTGTGCTCGTCCCATTGGCTTTGCTCGTCTCTCAGGATGCTGGATGACTGCCTACCTGCCCAGGCTCTTCTCTGCCTTGGTAGCTTTGCCAAAGTGGGCTGTGGTTGCAGATGCCCTTAACAGGATTGACAACCAGCCCCCAAAGACCAGACTCATAATAAAAAAAATCATATCTATGTAATAGGTTTTAAGAGGATTATATATTTGAAGGTCATTCAATTCTAATACTGACCAAATCCTTAGTACTCCACTCTGGCTCCTTCTACTTTCCCTCTTGAAAAATCCTCCACCCACCCCCATAAGGGAGGCCTTTCCCCTTTGGAGCCCACAGGGATTGTTGTAAGAAGCAGTGCTTGCATTTTGCCCAGCATAGCATTATCTTTATGATCATAGGAGCCCAGCCAAGTAACTCTCCCAGCCACTTAGGACCATCCTTTCGTCCCCTGGTACCACCGCCTGGGCCCAAGGCCATTCAGGAGAGTAACAGCGAGGAGAAAGAGAAGGGAGAGGAAGGCTGAGGGAGGCGGAGGAGGGGAGCCAGCCTCTGGCTGAGGAAGAGGAGAGGCAGTGGCAAGACAGCCGTGGCCTGGATATCCAAGCTGTGCTTTAGCTGTGCACCCCTGGGTTAGTTTCTTCAGAGTGATGTGGCTGGGATACATACTACTTAAAATTGTTCTTCTCTCAAATTTTATTAAGGGAAAAGGAGACAATAAATATGGTGGGATGTAGTCACATATAATGCAGAACTGCCTCAAGTGCTACTTAGGACCTGACCAAAGAAACTCCCAGCAGCTCCATCAGTAACGTTTCCTAAATTCAAGGTTACGCCCACCGGGCCCTGAGCAGCCCTGGAAGCCTGTAAGTTCAGTTCTTCCAAAGTTTCACAGTTGCATTTTGAGGAGACCCCAAATGTGTAAGTACATTCGGGATTGTTTCTACAAACACCTTTTAACTAGATCACCATTCTATGTGTAACCATATTGACTTCTAGTGCTGGAGACGTTTTTTCCCATCAAAAATTGGAGTAAAATTGTTCTGATACTTAATATTCACTAGACTAGAGTTTCTTCATTTTTTTCTAACATCAGCCCCTTTGCTATATACATTTACATTAAATCTCAAACCCAGACATTTGGAGGGAAAGAATCAACTAAAATTTAATTTGGGATGGAAATTAGCAGGAGCAACAACATTCTCAGGATGCGTTTCTTTCTTTCTTTTCTTTTCTTTTTCTTTCTTTTTTTTTTTTTTTTTTTTTTTGTGAGATGGACTCACTCTGTCACCCAGTCTGGAGTGCAGTAGTGGTGTGATTTCTGCTCACTGCAGCCTCCGCCTCCTGAGTAGCTGGCATTAGTGCATGTCACCGCGCCCAGCTAATTTTTGTATTTTTTAGTAGAGACAGGGTCTTACCATGTTGGCCAAGCTGGTCTCGAACTCCTGACCTCAAATAATTCACCCACCTTGGCCTCCCCAAATGCTGGGATTACAAGTGTGAGCGTCCAGCCTCAAGATGGTCTTTTGAACTTTAATTCCAAGAATGTTAGATAAAGTGATAAAGGCTACATTTTGCTTATGAGTTTTTATATTACTGTATCTTAAAAATGTGGTAGAAATTTCACTGTTCACAAATTAAAAATAGACATTGTTTATATGATTTATATTAGTGGATGACAAACTTGTAAATGAAATAGGTCTCTGAGGTATTTGTTAAGAGAAACAGATTTATAAGTTTGGTAAATTTTTAAAGCGTCATTGTTTCCTCTGAAGTGGGTTTAATGTATGCACTTAAGTAACATTTTCATGATATTAACTGTGTCCAGTTTTAAATTTTAAAATTTGTATATGTACACAAAGGATTATTTGATTTTTTGTATGATATTCACTTCATTTCTAATATTATAAAACCTTATTTTTGAAACGAATAAACAGGAGTGATGGGAGGACTAGTATATGAGACATTACTGATTGGTTCTTGGGAGTGATCATTAACATAGGTTGCAATCCACTTTTTATTTTTATTTTTATTTATTTATTTTTTTGAGATGACGTCTCATTCTGGCACCCAGGCTGGAGTTCAGCAGTGCTACCTTGGCTCACTGCAGCCTCCGCCTCCCAGGTTCAAGCAGTTCTCTTGCCTCAGCCACCCAAGTAGCTGGGATTACGGGTGCCCACCACCATACCTGGCTAATTTTTGTATTTTTAGTAGAGAAGGGGTTTCATCATGTTGGCCAGGCTAGTCTTGAACTCCTGACCTCAAATGATCTACCCACCTTGGCCTTCCAAAGTGCTGGGATTATAGTCATGAGCCACTGTGCGCAGCCACAATCCACTTTTAAGTGAATTTGTGGGAAAAGCACAGATTACAATTAAACTAAGTGGCATTTAGGTCACACATGTCATTCATGTGATCAGTGATCTGACAACCAACCTAATAGGAGGGAGTCACATCTTTTATGGTTTCAGGAATCAGTGGGGGAGGCATGCTATGAAAGGGCAGTGAAGGAAGGCAGTGTTTTTGTGTCTGCAGGTGTGCACTTGTACTACGTCGGGGGAGAGGTGTATGCTGAGTGCGTGAGTGACAGCAGCATCTTTGTCCAGAGCCGGAACTGCAACTATCAACATGGCTTCCACCCAGCCACCGTCTGCAAGATCCCCAGCGGCTGCAGCCTCAAGGTCTTCAACAACCAGCTCTTCGCTCAGCTCCTGGCCCAGTCAGTTCACCACGGCTTTGAAGTTGTGTATGAGCTGACGAAGATGTGCACCATCCGGATGAGTTTTGTTAAGGTAAGGAGTGCTTGCTACCACTTTATAAAATGTTCCGTGAAAAACGAAACAAAACAAAAGCACCCCGACTGATGGGGCAGTTCTGCAGCCAATTCAGATAGACAAAACCCATTTTTATTGAATTCTATTGTTTTTAGGTGGAGTTCCTCTTTGAGTATGAACTGTCTTGTTTAGCAGTTATATGAAAATTCTTACATATAACTCGTTTAGCAATTATATGAAAATTCTTGTTTAGTAGTTATATGAAAATTGTTTTGAAGAAAAACAAGTAAGGTAGCTGGTTGTTTTTAATGCAGATGACATTATGTAACAACAGCGATTTTATAGGACTAATGCAACAGAGATTTTTCCGTCCTTCAAATTGCCAAGCACTATTATCACTTGGTAAATGTTGGTGAATTTATCTGAATTCGGTAAGATACTATCTTTATTCTTAGAAAGCATACAGGCAGGCCGGGCGCAGTGGCTCACGCCTATAATCCCAGCACTTTGGGAGGCTGAGACGGGCAGATCATCGGAGGTCAGGAGTTTGACCAGCCTGACCAACATGGCGAAACCCTGTCACTACTAAATATACAAAAATTAGTCAGGTGTGGTGATGGGCGTCTGTAATCCCAACTGCTTGGGAGGCTGAGGCAGGAGAATTTCTTGAACCCAGGAGGCGGAGGTTGCAGTGAGCTGAGATGGCGCTATTGCACTCCAGCCTGGACAACAAGAGTAAGACTCCTTCTCAAAAAAAAAAAAAAAAAAAAAAAAAAAAAAAAAAAGCATTCAGGCACATGGGGTAGATAATGTTTATGAATAAGCTACAAAATAGGCAGGATTGGCTCTAATACAAGACAATAAATTAAGTACTGTTATAAAGGTATAAATAATTTGAAATAGAAACAACAGGTGAGTGTGATTAATTCTGAGAGTAGTTTGTGTTCTGTTGATGGGTATTTGTTGAATTTCTCATATTGAATGTTGTTAAGGTTGCCATGAAGGCGGGAGAACCAAGGTGGTTTCTTGGTGGGAAGGAAAAACAACTGGGTGTGTATATGGAAGCGAAAGCCTTCAGTTTCATCACCTGCTATTTTATCTGTTGCAAAGTACTCACAAATCAGTCTAATATTTCAAAATCTGGACTTGTTTATCAGATTACCTGGGTATATATGACAGTTTTCATACTGCCATGCATCCATCCAATGAATCAGCATGGCTTGGTCCAGGCATTTTTTTTTTCAAAGTAAATTTTATTTGTACTTTAAAATTACCATGATAAATAATTTTCTATAAATTATGTTTTTATTGTTTATAATCTTAGTAATTATTTACAAAGTAAGAACAATATAGTTTCTAATTTAAAAAACAGCTGCTTGAAATCATTTCTCTTTCATAGTGACAAAGCAGTTTCATTCAAATTTAATATTTTAAAAGCATATATTATAGTTATATTGACAGGTAACTTAGAAATCTTTTAGAATGTTCTGTTGCTTTAGAACCAGCAGAGGGCATCATTTGAATCATACAGTTTTTTTTTTTCCAGGTCTGTGTTTTTAAAATTAGGATGAAATGCCAATATCTCATAGGTAGTTATTTTACTATAATTAAATATAAGCTTATATAGAAATCTGATTTTTCTGATAACTAGATACATTTCTCAGATAGGCATTATTTAAATTCATAAAGTTACACAGTTTATACAGAAGACAAACTGTTCCTAATACTGCAGGAAATTTAAAATAAATCCATAGTAAATATAACTATAGATGATCAGTTTTAAAAAAAAATTGTAGATGAGCAAACACTGGTGAGTACCACTAGGCTGATACATCAGATCTCTTTAAGGTTTCTTTCAGCTCTGATTTTTACTGATTCTAGGACTCATTCAGTCAGTCAAGAAATATTTATTGAGCACCTGCCATGTGTCAGGCCAGGCCGTGGGACATACCAATGATTTCTCACAGATCTCTGGCCTCAGGGAACCAGTATTCTAGGAGGGAGAGACAGAAAATAAACAACAGCCATAACAAAGAAGGTGATGGAAAGAGAAAGTCTAGGCAGGGGTGAAGGGAATTGGAGCACTGGGCAGTGGAGTCATCTACACATCAGGGTGGGCCTCACTGAAAAGGTGACAGGTCAGCGGAGACTGAAGGAGACATGGAGCTAGGGCCAGGTGCCTCTGGCAGAAGAGCAGAAGCAGAGGGAAGAGCAAGGCAAGAGTATATGCCTGGAGACTCCAAGGAGCAAACAGGGCAGTATGGCTGGGGCCTAATGGGCAGGGGGATTGAGACGAGAGCAGCCTCAGAGAACCACAGCGAGGCCTCCTGAGTCACTGCCAGGAGGTCAGCGGCAACTCTAAGGAGGTGGTGAGCTTGCAGGGATCAGAGCAACCATTTTCATGATCTGATTCTGTTTTTAAAGGATTGTCCTGCCTTCTGTGTGGAGGATAGATATTACACAGGCCAGGTTGCAAGTAGGGAAACCAGTTAGGAGGCTATTTCAATATTCAGGTGAGAGTCGCTCCCACCTGGAGGGTTCCAGTACAGGTTGTGAGAAATGGAAGGATTCTGAATTGTGAAGGCAGATTAGATGCAGGGGTGAGAAAGAGTTAGGAAGATGAAGTTGCCTTCAATCAAGATGGAGAAGATGCAGGTGTATTGAGATGTGCATCCACATTCAAGTGGGGATATGAGTAGCCAGTTCAATATAAGAGTCTGGATTTGGGGAGAGAGGTTTGGGCTCAAAATACAAATTTGGGAATTGTCAGCAAAAGGACAATTTTTAACTACCTAAGTCTGGATGAGAACACCAAAGGTTTGAGTTTAAACTGAGAGGGCCAGGCGTGGTGGCTCACGCTTATAATCCTAGCACTTTGGGAGGCTGAGGTTGGTGGATCGCTTCAGGTCAAGAGTTCAAGACCAGCCCGGCCAACATGGCAAAACCCCATCTCTACTAAAAATACAAAAATTAGCCAGGCGTGGTGGCGTGTGCCTGTAATCTTAACTACTTGGGAGGCTGAGGCAGGAGAATCGCTTGAACCTGGCAACCACGTGGGAGGCAGAGGTTGCAGTTAGTCGAGATTGCACCATTGCACTCCAGCCTGGGTGACAGAGTCAGACTCCATCTCAAAATAAATAAATAAATAAAAATAAATAAACAGAGAAGACAGGGGGCTCTAGGACTGAGCCGTGGGATGCTTCAGCATTTAAAGATGGGGCAGAAGAGAAAGAATCAGCAAAGAAAACTGAGAAAGACCAACCAGGGAGGTAGAATAAGACCAAGAAGTATGGTGCTTTGGAAGCCAAGAAAAGACAGTGCATTGATGAGAAGGTGTGATGAACTAAATCAAATGCTGCCCACGTAGCACAAAGACGGAGAGCTGATCATTCATTTTAACAGTATGAAGGTCTTTTTTGATCTTGACAAGAAAAGTTTGGTTGGCAGCTGCAGTGAAACGATTATCAGAATGGATTTAAGAGAGAATGGAAGGAGACAATTTGAGACAACCAGTATGGTTGACTCTTCTGAGGGTTTTTGCTGGAAGCAGGATAAAGACATAGGGCAGTAGGTGCTGAGGGTAGAGAAGTGTCTTGAAGATGGAATATATTTCAGCGTGTTCGTGTGTTGATGGGACTGATATAGTAGATTGCAGGAGACAAGGGGAGACTTGCTGGAATGATGTCTCTAGGAAGACAGGTCTGAGAGTGCATAAATGGGGGGGCAGCTTATTTGGAAACACAGGTAATTAATCTGTGGTAAGAGGTAGAAAGGCCGAGTATGTGGGTGCAGGTGCTATGGAAACGCATTTCTGATGTCTTCATTTTTCTCATTAAAATACAAAATAAATCCATCAGTTGCAGATGTGGACAGGGATAAAAGGGTTGGTGGTTTTGGTGGGGAGGAGTGGTCACCTAGAAGGGGACGTGAGAGAAGGGACTAGGGGGTGGGTTGTGGCTATGTGCTGGGGACATCACAGGTTCACTTGAGGTTCTCAGTCACGAATGTGAAATGTAATCAGGCAGCACGGTTGTGTTGAAATCCAAGTTTTAAAAAACTCTTCAGAGAATCACTGCTCCCAGTCACAAAACTAATTTACTTGGCTGTGATCTCCCTTCATTTTAAAATATCTTTTCATTGATGTATAACATACAGAGAAAAATACGTAAAATTAAAAAAAAATTTTTTACTGTCTCTCCTTTGAATGCTGATAAAAGGGAAATTGCCAAGTAAGCCAGAGAGACAGAGAGAGAGAAGACAAGCAAGCTTTGATAATTAGCCCTGAAAATCCCAGCACACCTTCCAGTTCTCTCTTTACGCCCTTCAGGTCCATTCACTGGTCTGCAGTAGCCATTTTGTGTAAAACACTGTCCTAGGCAAGAAGGGGGGAACAGAAGGTCCAGTTTCTTTGTTTGTGGAAAGGAAAATTATTTGTCACTGCTTCCCATGTGACTGGAGTTCCAGAACCTCTCCAGGTCCAGATACCTAGTTGTGAACCCTGAGGGAGTGCACTGATTTGGATTCATCTGAAGGCATTTGGTTGGTGCAAGAGTTGTCCTGTGTTTACAGGAACGTAGAGGCCATGTTCTCTTCCTCTCCGGTCTCAGGAGCTACCCTGGGGTGTGAGCTGAGCTCTGTGTGGGGCTCTGTGTGGGGCTCGGGAGGCTGAGTTTAAGTGTGGGACCATCACTCAGCTTCTTTCTTGTTTTTCAGGGTTGGGGCGCTGAGTATCATCGCCAGGATGTCACCAGCACCCCCTGCTGGATTGAGATTCATCTTCATGGGCCGCTGCAGTGGCTGGACAAAGTTCTGACGCAGATGGGCTCTCCACATAACCCCATTTCTTCAGTGTCTTAACAGTCATGTCATAAGCTGTGTTTCCATAGGATAGAGGCTATTGCAGGGAGTGGCTTGTATCATTTCAGATTTGCAACTAACTGAAGTTTCTACAAACATGTGTAAATACATAGAAGGTATACTATTCCTATTTTTTTTTTAATCACCATTTGTTTTGTGCTTTTAGTTAACCTGATACCAGTGCAGTGCGATTGGAAAAGCAGGCCTTTTGTGCCTGTGCTATAATTGGCAGCTTTTGTGGGAGGAAACAATTGAGGGGCAATATTGTCAAAAGTATTTGAAGGGTGTTAGCAGAAGAAGAGGCAGCTTTAGTCAGCTGTGTCATCATAAAGCATGTTATGTGGCCTCACAGAAGTACTGAAACTGTTTATACAGCAAAAGTCAGGAATTAGCAGCGCTAAAGCAAATAACACTCAGATGAAACAAAGCAGTGAAACCCCTACAGTTTAAATGATGTCACTTTAGCGCTATTGGCAAGAAGAAAAACAAGCTTGGACAATGAATTCTATGAGATAAGTCATAGAAACTTTACTTCTAAGGCTGACATACCCATAACTGGGCTCCTGTGCTGATATTCAGTGGTACATTTTAACCAAACTGTGATCAGAAAAGAAAAAAAACTGTGAAGCCAAAAAGTCATGTTCCCTCAGTCTACCACTATAAAAACAGAGTCTAATATGGAGAAATAAATATGAAAATAGCATAAAATGCTGTTTTCCAAATTACAAGATCAGACCAGAACTTGGTCCAAGAGCCACCCAGGGAGACGCCTGCTTTCCACAGAGGAGATTGGATTCCTGTTGTCCTGGTTGTTCGTGTCAGGCAGTCCTGCAAACTTTGAGTCTGCACAGCGTGCCAGAATAGCATGTGTTTCAGTCCTGTGTCAAGAAGCAGGTGAAACCAAAGGGTGGAGAAAAGCATCACACGTCGACTTACACTTTCTCATCTTCCCACGTTCAAGTCTCCAGGGGAAGGCACTCCTTTGCCATGTTTTTCTGCCTTTTGGCAAGTATTAACTGCAGATTACTAAAGCAACAGTAAAGACTTTGAGAAAATCTAGATACATTATTGGATCAATGAGTTATTTAACCTAGTATCTCTAGTGATTAAGTTATCTAAAGTCTCATACCCGGAAATAAATTCCCAAGTAAAGTCATAATAATTTTTTAATCATCTATAATTTCTGGGAAGCAGTGGTACTGAATAATAAGACGTCTTTTAAAAACATACACAATATTAAAAACTTGTTCTTATTTTACTTTAGATGATAGAGGAAAATCCCCCAAATTTCTAGGTACTTTCGTATATATATATATTTGCCATGTACTAAACACTGCATTGCTTGGAAAAATATTTCACACCTTCTTAAAAAACGTATAATTTAAGATAGCAGTTACGCTTATAACAGACAGCACTTCAGTAATCCAAGAAGTTTCTTCATTAATACATTTTGTCTCAACTCTTTCTAGCTTTAGTGCACATGGTAGTTTTCTCATTAAATTGTATTCAAGGTAGAAATGATCATGTGATAAAAGATATATAATTGAGCTACTACTGTCACCTCTTATAATGACTAGTGTTATCTAATAGAAACTTTCATATATACACAATGGAAAAGAATTATTACATTTTACATTGAAACTAGGTGGCACATGTAGTGTTTAGAAAAATGTATAGTTTATTGGTTCATCATCTATGTATTGTGCACCTACCTATAGGTGTCAGGTACAATGTTAGGTACTGTAGAATCAAATGTAAATAAGAGACATCCCAGCCCTCATGGAGCCAAGAATCTAAGTGAATCTGTTTGCACAGACATCCTCATGTTTCAGAACTTGTAAAACAAAACAAAATAATACAGTCTGTCTTTTGCTTGAAAGAATGTAATTGATTTCTTATCTCTGCTTTTTTTAATTTCCCTACTCTTCTGCAAAACCAGGTAATGGATTCCTGGTATAAATGCTACTTTTTTTTTTCATGTCTCAAAGTTGTTGTTTTTTTCTTCTTCCCTTTCTAGCTAAAAGTTTGTTTTAGCTAGAAATTGGAAAATAGGGAATATTTTCCAATAATTCTATATCTCCCTTTTTCTTGGAAAAGACATTAATATGGTGAATCTCATATGGGAACCATTCCGTGGGAGACCTTTGACATAGCTTTTGCTTCAGAGGTCAAACATAGCTTTCATGATCTCTTGACCAGCTATCTAACTTACCCTCTGGTAATCTTACATCTTTACCTAATTAAGCTAAACTGGTGGTTCATAAATGACATCAAAAACAAAAAACAGTCTGCAGTGGCTGTAATCCCAGCACTTTGGGAGGCCAACACAGGAGGATCATCTGAGCCCAGTAGTTTGAGGCTGCAGTGAACTATGATCACATGACTGCATTCCAGCCTGGGTGAAGACACTCTAGTCTCTAAACAAAAATCAAACAAAAAACTCGCATTTCTATGCGGCTTTGGGAAGCCAGGACACAATATTGCAGTGAACCTGAATTTTCTGTGACAAATTATTAAATTGGCACATATGATCATCATATCATGTCTCATCAAAAGCCTTTATTAAGATGCTTGTAAAATTTGAAGAATTTAGAATTGATGAGAAGTTAACCCTTTAGTCACTGTAACATAATCATATTTTAATCAGCTTTTTTTTTTTTTCCTACCAAGAGTTTCAAAAAATGATACAGTACTTGACTTCAGGCTTCTAAATGTGGTCATTTAGCACTCATTTCTTGAGGCAGACAATAAAAAAAAAATGAATAGCATTCTCTCCAGGATAACTAATAAAGAAGACATGCTAAGCCTGTAAATACATCAGCACTGCAGCACATGTTTAAGATTGCCATGGACAATGGACAAGGATCACGCAATAGAGAACACTGTAGTAACATTTTGATCTGCTCACAAGACCTAGAACATTTACCAGTTTTTGTTGTTGGTTTATTGTTTTTCTGTTCAAAAATCAGGATGTGAAAAGTTTGTTTTAGGTAGATGATATTTTTTTATAGTTGCCAGTGCTTGGGAACTATAAAGATGTCACTATTTAACACATATACTTATGTTTTGTTTTGTTTTACACTCACTATAAATCAGGAAAAGTTAGCCAGCCACCTAGCATTTAGAGTCCTCTTTTGTATTATCTTTTAAGGATATGGATGTTCCTGTAACAGCAACAAAACAGCAACAAAAACATTTCATAAATATCACTTGGTAGGCTTTGAGCGCCTGCTTAACTCTGAATGTGTCCCAAATATTTAGTGTATGTATATATGTATATTCAACAAATAAAACAAAATATAACATGCATTTCACATTTTGTCTTTCCCTGTTAGGATTTTAATAGCAGAAATATATGACAAGTTTAGGTGATCCTGGCATATGTTAGATTCAAATTAATGTAAAACAGATCAACAACAACAAAGAAAGTTTCTATTTGAGCGAAGTTATGCTTTCTATTATAGTAACTTGGCTTCGGTTATCCATCAGATGCACACTTATACTGTTATCTGATTGTTTATAATAAAGAATACTGTACCTATATGTCTTTCGGTCATTTTTCCTGTAAACCTCATGGAAAGATTCACTGTATATGGGTCTGCAGCTCCTTAAGTCAATTAATTTGAAACCATTCTATTTTGAAAATGGGATGTTAAGTTCCACATGCTATAGAGAAATTCGGTAGTGGCTTTGAATTAAACATCTTAGAATAACTGTCATGAAGTATAGATCTTGAAGATACTTCACAGTAACTTTGGAAAGGATATATGTAGAAACTTTTTCTGGATAGTGGCAAATGTGTGATATTGCAGTGTACAGGAAAGAATGAACACTTTTATTATTGTAAACATCTGTACATTGCTACAGACTGCCTATTAGGTGCTAAAATGCAACTGTTAAGGGAAAACTAAGATGAAATCCAAAGAAATATGAACACATCTAAAAATGTAAATTCTCAATTCCTTTCACTTAAATGTCCTCTCATCTTAAAAAAGGGGAGGGGGAATCTCTATATCTAGAAAACAGCTTTCTTATATACTTGATGAGAATTGTCAATTTAAAAAAAAATAAACAGAGCCCTTTATTCAAAAAAAGTATCTTGTGGAACTCCAAACTATAAACACATGAAAGATGTGGCAGTTTAGATCCAGGTGGGGACCACAAAGCCTCCGGTTTACACTGTAAGTTTCTGGAGAGCAGTGATTGTGTCTTGTTTGTCTCTGCATCTCCCATGGTTCCTGACCCTATGCTTGCATCTAATATTTGGTACTGGCATTTCAAACACGAATACCCATGCCTTAACATATCATGGTATAGACATAAAATACTGTCTTTAAACATCAGCCATCTTAAAGAAGAAGTATTTCATCATCCCAGACTCCTCCTTATATTTACTTATGGTTCATATGCATCAGCAGGCACTGTAGACACTCACAAAGTTCCTGCCTTTTTAAAAAAAATATAGATTTATTTTTTATTGTACTTTAGGTTCTGGGGTACATGTGCAGATCATGCAGGATTTTTGCATAGGTACATACATGGCAATGTGGTTTGCTGCCTCCATACCCCCGTCACCTATATTTGGCATTTCTCCCCATTTTATCTCTCCCTAACCTCCCTACTCCCTGCTGTCCCTCCCCTAGTCCCCCTCAACAGACCCTAGTGTGTGATACTCCCCCCCCCTTCCAGGGCCAGGTGTTCTAATTGTTCAACACCCGCCTATGAGTGAGAACATGCGGTGTTTGATTTTCTGTTTTTGTGTCAGTTTGCTGAGAATGATGGTTTCCAGATTCATTCATGTCCCTACAAAAGACGTGAACTCAACTCATCGTTTTTTATGGCTGCATAGTATTCCATGGTGTATATGTGCCACATTTTCCTTGTCCAGCCTATCATCGATGGGCATTTGGGTTGGTTCCAGGTCTTTGTAAACAGTGCCACAATCAACATATGCATGCATGTGTCTTCATAATAGAAACATTTATAATACTTTGGATACATACCCAGTAATGGGATTTCTGGGTCAAATGGAATTTCTATTTCTAGGTCCTTGAGGAATCGCCACACTGTCTTCCACAATGGTTGAACTAATTTACACTCCCACCAACAGTGTAATAAAAGTGTTCCTAATTCTCCACATCCTTTCCAGCATCTGTTGTCTCCAGATTTTTTAATGATCGCCATTCTAAATGGCATGAGATGGTATCTCAATGTGGTTTTGATTTGCATTTCTTTAATGACCAATGATGATGAGCATTATTTCATATGTTTGGTGGTCTCATATATGTCTTCTTTTGAAAAGTGTCTGTTCATGTCCTTTGCCCACTTTTGAATGGGTTCGTTTGCTTTTTTTTCTTGTAAATCTGTTTTAGTTCTTTGTAGATTCTGGATATTAGCCCTTTGTCAGATGGGTAGATTGCAAAATTTTTTTCCCATTCTGTTGGTTGCCGGTTAACTCTAATGATTGTTTTTTCTTTTGCTGTACAGACACTCTGGAGTTTAATTAGATCCCATTTGTCTATTTTGGCTTTTGTTGCCAATGCTTTTGGTGTTTTAGTCATGAAGTCTTTGCCTATGCCTATGTCCTGAATGGTTTTGACTAGGTTTTCTTCTAGGGTTTTTGTGGTGCTAGGTCTTACGTTTAAGTCTTT